CGGTGCCGCCCCCTTAGGATTACTCTGCATTATATCCAGAAACGCTGATATGCCATGGCTGTACTTAGATCTTTTGTTGGTAAGAGCTTCATACAATTAACTGCGTAGATTTTGACAAGAGAATGTAAACAAAAGTATACACCCTCGAAGATTTTTTTCGTTTATATTATACATGGAAAATTTCCAACAAACCGTGAATTTAATGTTCTGTTTTAATCAATAATTTCCATTTTACTGCGATGCTTTTTCAATAGTTGTAACAGCTGAAGAGGTTACGGAGCGGTTTGCCGTTGTCACGTGGTTGGAAGAATGTTTCGGAGACTCGTAAAGCCGAAACATTGGAAATGCAGCGTTGTCCTAGTTAAGGCCGAAAATTTCGACATGGAATAAAACCGAATTGTAATGACATAGGAAGTGTTAAAGGGAAACATTCAAAAGGAAGTGCGTTGTTGCCAGTTCGGGAGCGTGGATCCTCTTATCCCGATGATTCATTCGTTTGCCAGTTATTATAACAAGCACCCGGTTTTTCACTCAGTGTTTGGTTCTTTCGACTCTACAATTAATACCGAGGGGATTGGCGGGAGGTTTTTAAGGTAGCAAGGCAGCCAGTTTGGTTCGATTGTACATGCTTAAACCTCGGAAAGGTGTATCGGTTATGACCGCGGAACTGTCCATCTTCGTCTCGAACGTTATCATCGTCGCCTGTTCGTCTTGCTCTCGCTCACGTGTACCAAGAGTTCCGATCCACTTATTCTTTGTCGCCTTTTCGAGATACACGATTTTGCTCGTCGCTATGTTTGCAAGTCGTAGTGTATATCTACACATATTGCGGACAGAGCTTGCTTGGTAACGTATTGATTTCTGTGGCCGCCAAGATAGGGGTCAAAGGGCATTTTAGTCTCTCGTCGTCTTACCTCGTCACGATTTGTGTATCCACGTTGTGTATTGTTCCTGAACTAAATTGTTCAATAATACGACATCTATTATCTGTATTTATAGTATATTATTTTCTATTATTTTGCTTTAAATATTTTACATTTTTCATTCGTTCAAACAATAATTGAATACAATTAGTATCAAGACTCGTAACTGCGTAACTAGATTTGTCGATTCAGAAGTTTTAAGGTCAAGGAAGACATTACATTTCATTCGATTTGTCCACACCGATGAATTTTTAATTTCATTGCGCACCCGTGTTGTAGCCGTCAAAACTGGCAAGCTCTCTCTAAACCTGGTGTAGTTAGTCCTCTTCGCCAGATCAATACGGCATTTATTTTTAGATTTGCTTCGTGCACACAACTGTAACCAAAACTCTACGTAGTAGCTGGTGCGTGTATTGCCGAGAATCGTTTTATATACACAGAGACCTGTGGAGTCGCACACGCTGTCCGCTTTCCGTCGGGAATGTTCTTGTGCTGCTGAAACAAGCAGCAGCAAGCAAGCACATTTCGAACCAAAGGAAAAGAGGTCGAAATCCCGGGAAACCGGAGAGATGCCTTTTCTGGTTGAAATGGAACCGTCATCAGGTCGAACATTCGACGGGGGGAACGGGGGTGTCTAGAATCTCTCACTCGCGCCGATCCGCACTCGGTACAGCCATACCAAGAGTATGCGACACATTCCCACAGCTTCCATTTGTGAATCATTCTACACACGAGACTAAAAATGTTGACTCTGCCCGAAGTGAGGTGTATCACGAACGAACGACGGAATCGAAGGGCGTAAACTCGACACCTCGCCGATTAGTCGGCCTTCGACCCGTTAATAGGGGAAGAATATGAGGAACCGGAGAATTTCTCTTACTTGGCCCATAGGCCGAACTCTGAGACTTGTGGCTTTCTGAAGCACCGGTGACGTTTTTTTTTAAATTTTATTTTGGATATCGGTTCAAAATTGCCGCCTTTTATTTTTTTCGTATGAGTGGTTGTGTAAAAGACCGAAAAGTTGCTGTTGGAACGTCGAGTTGAAACGAGGTACATACACAGTTTGTCGGTGCAGTGAGTGAGAGATGAAATCGATCCATTTTATCCCCGTGGTTAGCTGTTCCGTGCTCGCACCTGACCTTGCGGCATGTATTAACCACAAAAATGGCAGACATTTGACCAATCCAATTTTGCTTGAATATTAATAGCGTAAAAGAAACTTAAAATAACGAACCATAACATAAACGAATTCTTTCAATTACGATCGATCCATATAATATGTACTTAGTTATATACTCTACCTTCCATTATTTTTGAATTAGATCGCATTTCTACTAGGTTACTGTGAACTACAAAGGTACCAATGATGATGAAGTTATTGTCATCCTAAGGACTTAATGTAATATGATTTTTATGATTGTTCACTAGTGCAAAAAGCACTTAATGAATGCTTATTGGCTTGGCAAACGTTGTATTTAATTAATTGTTGATAACATTTATTTTTTTACATTTTTATTAAAATGCTTTTCTCTGGGCTAGGTCAGAAATTTAAATTTTGATGAGATTAAAAAAGTTGTTTTGTCCACAGTTGTTTGGTAATTTCTTTTAAAATAAAGAAACTAATAATATACATAAGTATAGAGTATTAGAAAAGGCAACTGCCACAAATTATGTATGTATTTTTAATAAATTCTTCTTTGATGTATGATATTGATGATATCAATTCATAAAATTGGAATGATGATATACATTTTTAAATTCACGTGTAATAAAAATTTAAAACAATGGAGATAAGCAATTGTATTTTATCACTGTATCAGTGTAAAGACCACATGCAATCTTTAATGATAATAGTACTAAATTATTGTGTGTATGCTGTTTTAGACTAGACAGTCATTTACCACAATTGATGTTTAAATCTGGAATTATTATTCATAATTTTTGAAAGTTATTAACTAATAATCATAAAGTTTAGCGTTTTCAAAATTGGTGCCGTTTTCGGAGTGGTTGGGGGCCCTTACAAAAATTTTCCTTCCACTCCGTCACTGTTTTCAAGGTAGTGTTACGTCTACATAAAATAATAGCAATGTCGTCCTTGTTGCCTGTAAAGTTGCTATTTATGAACAAAGTTCAATTTATTTGGGTACACAGACACCCCCAAGATAAGCGCGAGTGGACTCGTCGTCGCATTTTCATCTTGTGATCTGCTCATTTTATTGGTCACTCAATTTCGCTAAAACCAAATATGTAGGTACAGATGCGTTGTACGTATCGATCCATTTCCAATAGATGATGCATAAAATTATCGTTGAAAACCGGCGTTATTCACCTCGAGTATTAACCGGATTAAAGTTGAATTGTAGCGCGCGATAATTTAAACACTTTTTAGTGATGTAATGAGGAAAAAAAAAGATGCGAGTGATACGACCACGCCCTGTATTTAGATTTTACGCTAGGATTATGGAGACGTCCTGTAGAATTCCTTGGACGCGATTTGCTCCCCTTCGTCGCGTTGCCAGAACGTCATTGCTCTCGACTTGGTCGGGTATACTGCTTTAGTTAGAACAGAATCGCATGATGGAATGTTATGCTAACCTTTTCTGCTTTTAACCTATACAACTTTGTTTAGATATTGATCTCGCAGCTTGCGGTTCTGTAATTTCCACCTAGAGTGTACTTAGAATATGGAAAATTTTATAATTAGTTGAGAAAGTCGGACAAAAGATGCGTTCATAATAAAAGGAGGAGAGAACGGACGAGGTTGTAATAAGAGATTTCACCCTAAATCATTGGCAACCCCAACGGAAAGGCATTGATCTTTGAATCTGGGTGTGTCTACAGACGCTAAAAATATCAAAAATCTATGATTATTTCGTGCTTGTTGGTTTGAACAAATGAAATTTGGGCCTAGTTGCGAATATATTGATGGAGTATTGATTTTAAAGTTGTTTGCTCCTCAAAGGAATTTTTACACCAGAAATCTTCAACCTGTAAGACGTTTCAATGTCGTTTAATTTATTCATTGAGTCATTTGCAAATAAAACTTCTGGAAATTTTCTTCTGTTGTTTGCTCCTTTCTATTTTATAATGGGTTGATAACCATGTCTTTGTTTAGATAATGTCATAATAAAACGATAAAGCTACTAAAAATTCAAGAAAAAAATCAAGTGCGTTTTTCGAACGGTCAACGTTAAAACTATGTCGAGTTAAAAGAAAGATAGTGTGTTTACTAAATCATCGTTTGAGATGCCCTGTTTACCCGTTCTTAATATTTTCCACCACTGGCAAAATTTCTACGTATTTGTCGTCGTCATCGTTCGTTGGATCAGTCAGGAATTGACGCTTTCGACAAAGTGGTTGGTTGTCGACTTATATAGTGTGCTTTCTCTGCAACTTGGGTGTTGCCCCAAGGAGGAACTTTTTCAATTTTCAGTGGCTCCATCTGACGGTCGTAATTGGGGGTCCCTATTCCACCGTACAAAATCCACCCACTGTCCCCCCGGTTCAGACCCCCGCCCGATCAATGTTAACGTGCCACGCGAGATCGGGTGACGTCACGGCCAGGCCACTTCCGGACTTTCGACGCCATATTGTTATTATCAATGATAATCTTTGCATTGTTATTACGTGGCAATTTTAGTTCGCGATGCGTTTCTGCAAAACATTTCAGGATTACTTTTACATTATTTCTTGAATCTCTTTACTTACTCGTATGCCGCGTTATAAGAACTAGAGTATGTACTAGACTAACACTAGTCGTACCTTTTATTGCCCAAATACTTTCCTCATTTTAAGATTTTAATTAAATTTGATTACTTTGACGTATGAGTAGATTAACATTGATAACTGTATGATTAGATTGTAAATTATTAAATAAATTAATGCGTGTTTGTAGAAACTAACACCGTTTTTATTTCGGATGGCTGTCGCACGCATCGCGGGAAGGTTAAAGGAGCGTAGAATGGGTATCCTTTGCCATCCGATCTTTTCTTTTTTTTTCTCTTTCTCTTTACTCCCGATTTTATCCCGCTTTGCCCCCTTGAAATGCATATATCTATGACCTCGGCGTTGTTACAGGCGCTGGAGTGAAGATGGAGCATTTCCAGGCGGCGCTCGACCCCCGGAAACAGGAGCTCCTGGAGGCGCGCTTCCTTGGCGCTAGGGTGAGTGCCTATAAAATGCAATTATCTTTCTTTTTTTTATTTTCTTCCAACCATCCACCTTTCTTTCACCCATCACGCACACCCGCGATGGTTTTTTCAATACTAACTAGTAGGTAGATTTATTATTAGAAAAATAGTGTCTAACAATTGGTCTAGAAGTCTGACGTAATATGCTGGCAAAAACGCAAGATGAGTAAACGAATTTGAAAAAAGTTGGGGAACTGTTCCCTAGGCCTAGGGCCTAAGTAAAGATTGTTGCCGGGTCGCGATTTCTAACGGAAACGGCCGAAGAGAAGTTAAAAACCAAGAAAAAAAAAAGAAAATTCATAATTCTTGAGTTCTAAATAGCTCCTGCTCCTTTAGTCGTCTTGTTTACAATGGTTCTAGGTATTCTATTGTTTACATATTGTATATTTTAATATTCTGTCTGCTTGAAACCAGTTGGCTTAATTAAACATTAAGCAAAATTGTTGATTAACTTTTGTTGAATGTTAATAAATGTCGTTCGAACTGGAGACTTGGAGATTGTCGATGTGGACAAAAGGGGGAGATGCAGGTGCGACTCGTCGTTATAAGTTTTTTTCAGTCTTGAATGAAACCAGTTAGGGTTCGTCCCGATTCGCGTTCGTAATCAAACGTGTCGAGATAGCACAAAAAGGTCGAATCACAACCGACGAAAAACGAATTAAGCTCGCTGCTTCCGGAAATCGGACGTGTGCGCCATTTTTTTTTCCTTCTATACGTCTATTTACCCGCGTGTCATTTCGATTGAAGATTGTGCAAAATAGTTTTTCCTCTCTTTTCAATACATTGTCATGTCAAATATTATGTAAACGTGTTTAGAGAAGATCGGTCGTGAAGTGTACGGTTTTATAAGAATGGTGTCGTTGCACTTAGTTGCAATGCGAATCTAGTACAGCCTGTAGCAAAAGTTATACACACACACACACACCAGAAGTCGAACTCTAAACCGCTCCATTATCTTTGGCAGTACCTATTTTATTTGTGTTCGTCCTTAGTTTCCGATGACGTCTCTTCGGTTGCGGTGTTTAACAGCGAGCCTTAAATTTTATCGCCACTGACGTGTGCGCGCAACAATTTGCTCCTTTTATGTTGGTAAGTCATGCACGCTGGGACCGAATAGCTTTCTAATTGTTTAGAAAATAATTTCGGCGCAGTAATTCGGTTCGCGTAATTGAATGTTCTCCTCCGCTGTCGTAACGTTTTACAGATTAGATTAAACACAAATCTTGGTGACGTCTATGTCGCTTTTTAAGAAAATTTTCCTGTGTGCAAAGTGGTTTAGGATCACGGGATCGTTCGTAGTAACAAGTAAGTTTTGGTTTCGTCCAAGTTCCGTGACCCATTGGAGAGTTACGCGGTTGATTATAACAACAAGGTCCCGGCATTGTGACATTTTATTATTACAGTAGATTAGAACGTGATGCTAAATTGGGCTTGTTAAACAAACATAATTATTAATAGCGGGAGGTACAATCGAGGTGCTGCAGAGATCGCAAGTGCGCCAATATGATTGTAATAATTTTTTGTGTCCGTCATAATCTCGCGTGGGACGTGAGTGTTTGTTCGGCCGGATCACTGGTTAAAATCGGGCCACTTGTGTTGTTGTTGCGTTGAAGGACTGAAAGCCCGATTTACCAAGCCGCATTGTGCGGCGAACGTTGAACTTGCGGCACAACTCAGCGGTCTCGGCATTTAGTATCATGTCCGACTACACGATTACGGCACACACATTCACACACACGCTCTCGAGAGTTGGTGGGTCGATCCAAGAGCCCAGACAAGTGGAAGCGCAGCGGGTTGTTCACTCTCTCTTCTCTTTCCTTCCATTTGCGAGACACGAGACCTTGGCTTCAAAAACAGCCGTCATTTTTATGCAAAACTGTTATCCGTCGGCGGAGGCTTTCACTCGTAATTGCGCTTTTGGAATTTGTTGAAAACAACGACATCTACTTCACAATAGCACAGCCACTGTGGGGTGATGAGAATCGGAAGATTGGGTCGATTATGTCACGAGAAATCGGCTAAATAACCTTGTCGGAGCCCAAGACGCATTGCCAAAAAGGAGGATTGTTATCGCAGTATTTTGCCAGTTAGTAACGCGTTGCAAAGTAGATTTGCCGGGTTAGTAAGGGAAATTTTGTATTTTCCGCGGTTTATATGTTTCAGTTCTAGTGGTTGTAAAGCGTAACGGCCGTAATAACGCAAAACGGTTTCTTTGACGGCTGCATCGAGTTCTATTTTTGGCGCACCGGAAACAATTTTTTGTTGCCGAGTTGACCCGATTTGTGTGCCGCACTCTGATAAGTTTTTTTCGTCACGTCACATCATCAAACCTCTGCACAGAATACGACGACGATTCGTGGGGTTAAGCAGCACTCGTCGTCGGTGTTGTTGGCGATAATTAACGCACTAGTCACTAGTCACCACAACGGAATAGGTAGGTGCACTTGCCGTCATTTCGACGGTAGAGATCCGTGCGAGGAGCCGCGCATCCTTCTAACGCACCAGCTCGCTAACGAATGAATCGGCATCGAGTGATTCAAGTGCGCCAAGTTGTGGTGTTGTAAACCGTCATGCGCGATGCGGCAACAACGGCCGGCGCCAGCTGATAGCTAAAGGCGGTGTTGCCGTGCGATGGCCTCGATGAATGGCATTGCAAGGTCTGTCTCGGTGCAGTGCGGTGCTGTTGGTGTGATGTAGACATGTGCGGGAACGATCGACGCCATGGAAGGGCTGTTGCAAGCTCTCCTGGTCCACTATCACTTGAGCCACCAGGTAAAAAATTGGCTGTTTTTTCCCTGTGTTGTGGTTTGTGTGGAGTTCCACGTGCTCTGCCTGTACGCGTCGCCGCCACGACGACGGCCTGACCTAGTCTCCGGCTTTCATTGATTTTACAACGCGTACCAGACAGAGGTTTAACTTGTTCGCCGGTTGAAATTAATTCGCCATTATGGTCGTTATTTTGATGATGGTTTCAATGGTAGACTACGCATCTAAAACATGGTTTAATAACGCCTTCGCTCGTTTCCGTGCTTCGTTATCTTCCGTTTCGTTCTTCCCCACATTTGGTTTTTGTGTTGTGTGGATTATAACTTGGTTTCCGCCTTGATAAACCGTTATCACATCGTAAGATATTTTTGACTGTCTGTTAGTGGTTTGTGTAATACCTACATGGCTGTATTGAATGTGTTAGTTAACGAGACCGCGGTATTAATAATATTGAGGTAGGCAGCTACTTTCTAACATGCCCGACCAGAAAAGAGCGATTATTATCGTCGCAAACAAAATCTTATTACGTTAAAATAAATTCTACCTCGACTCGATGTTTTTGCTTGCCGTAATAGATAGCTGCATTGTTTCTAATCTTTACTTGCTAACTTAACTCTCCCACTACCTTTCCATATTGCCGTGTCTTTTTTACCGGTATTTGGCAACACTTTCTTGACCTCATATTGCGAATTTATACGTTTTCTAACATTTTTCGAATCGTTTGAATCTGTCTTTTAATTCGATAATACTTTTCTCCAAAACGGCTAAAACGTATGTGAATCTTTCGTAGAGTTTCACTTTCGTGAAAATTGTTCCTTATATTTTGCTAATTGACTACCATATTGGAAAATAAGAAAGGTCGTCGAACATCATTACGAAAATCTAGGTAATAATTTCATTTTATATTGAAGCATTGTTTTTTTTTTTGTGTAGGATTGGGGATTTTCGAAAATGTTCAAATTTGTGTTAGTTAGCAAGTTGAACAATTTTCATTTATTTTTTAATTTACGTAATGTTGGTTTACTAGGAAGTGAGCTAAATTGATTTTTTCAACACGGAATCAAAAGAAAATAATTCGGTTCAGTTTGATTTTACGTATTTTATTTCTTTCTTTGTTTATTTATTTTTTAATCAACATTGTTTTTTTGAAATTAACGGAATTGTGGGTGGATTTTTTTGTGGATGGCAAATTCTATAAGCAGCATATCGTAAATTGTAAACGAAATCGGCCTATTTTTAGTAAGTTTACGGTCAAAATATGTTTATAGTTTGTGATTGGGATTATCTGTTGTAATATTAAAGCAATTTTTAACGTACATTAAAACTTTAGCAATTTTTACACTCCATTTTGCGGAGTGATGATGATAAGGCATCTTCTTAAATAAATATGGAGATAAAATTGTAGTTACTTTCTAGTGTCGCCTAGGAGGTACCATTGGATTGGTGAAGACTTATCTATGATAACTTTTCATTTTCTTGCGAATCGTGAAATTTCCCATCCTTATAAAGTTGGCTTAAAAGACATTGTTTGCGCAAGAATATGGTTGATGATTCACAGGATTTCAAAATATCGATGTCCACCTCTGTAATTGTGTTGGCAACATGAACACACATCGGCCATTCAATTAAACTTGCATTCTTTAATCAAGTGAAAGTTTTTTAGAAGTTTTGGTTGATTTGCAATCCGTCGTCAACAGTATCGACTGCTTATTCTTGTTGTCAGTCTTCGTTTCCAGGGAGGTTATCGCCGATTCTTAATCATCCTGATTATAATTAAGTAAAACGTTTTTTCCTCGTTGCAAATTTTTGTGATTATTGGTCGCGTCACGAACTCTTTTCCATGTGAGTAGGCGACGTCGTGATCGAGATTGCGTGGAGTTGATGGGAGTGGACAAGCACTCATGCTCGACACTTCTACACGCGATTTTTTTAATTTTTATTTGATGACAGACGCAATAATTTTGAGTAGAGGATTTCTGTTCTTTCGAACCGAAAACATCAGGTGGGCTTCTTCCGTTGAATATCCTTTTCCCTAATAACGCTAGTCTCGGAGTACAGTTCCGTTCATAATTGAATGCTAACCGACCAAGATGTGCCTTTTCTAAACAGCCAACCAAGAGTGTCGGTGTGCGAGTGTACTTACAGAAAGGTCGCGTACACGATAGGGGTGTCCAACTTCTCCGGAATAATCAATATTGCACCCTCCTCTCCCTCTTCCACCACTGTTTCAATCTGATGTTAGCGAAATCGAGAACTTATATACACGCCCAAAATGACGTACGTAAGAAACTGATTCAGATTTAATGTTTCAAATGGACTGCTTATTAGTTTCTTATGCCGAATGCTCTAAGCAATGTAAAGCATCAAAACCTTATTCTATACGCTTTTTACAACCGATTTTTCTCGATTTTTTTTCCAAACTAGTGTCTCTCTCCTAAAATAGTCATGTTTGCTGCGAACTTGTCGATGTGAATTGTGCGTGATACGTGTATAGCACTTTCAAAAAAAATATGGCGAGCTTTTCCGAAGTCTCTGCAGTTGGAAGTGAGCCCGGCCGGTTGGTGTTCGTATGGGTCGATAACCTACATTATTAAGCATTCTATTATATGTCTTTTACCTGGTCTGAATGGTCGCACACACAGCTCTCTCAGTAGTAAGTAGTCGATGAACGCCAAGGAGGAGGCCTTTGCTTTATTAGCCATTCTAAAAATGTCTGGCCGTTCTGTGCTGCCACAACGGGCCCCCAAGTCCAATAATGTGATGATGGCGTAAGCAGACTCACGAGCATATTGCATTGATTAGTCCGTGACAAGGAAATTATTTCACTTCAACCATGCTTGATGTTTACGTATGGTGTTGGGTGATACGATATAACTATAGCTTGGCTTGTTTTAGTTTTTTCGTTATTTATAATATTGAGGACGAGTTTTAGAGATTTTTTAATAAGATTGTTAAAGTGCTTGATTTGAACTTTGAGTATAGTAGAGTGGTGCTTTTGTATAGTGGTGTATACGATCTGGCAACCCCTACTTCTGTTGTATTCAAGGCATTACTAAATAAAGTGTACATAAGGAGAAACGTTGGTTATGGTTTATATTTTACCTCCTAAATGGGTGCCTCTTTATTTATTACTTTCGTAGGTAGGAACCCATCACATTTCATGTTAGAATAATAAGAATTTCGTTTTTATGGTGTAGGTGTTGGTTTGGGCATAAAAATATTTAATTTTTGAATGTAGAACATGGTACGTTTTCATTCATAATTGCTTCGATCTTGATTCAAAAAAACGAGGAAAGTTTTTGGGTTATGTTACAAGAGGTCAAGGATAATAAGATGATTTTTTATGTCACTCCTCTTGAGTACATGTTTTTATAAATAACATCCGTTGTCTCACTTTACGATAATTCGATAATTAAGTCTAGTACATCATATTTTGATGTTATCCAATAAATTATGAAATGATAAGAAATTTGTTTTTGCTGAATATTTTGATAGATTAAAGGTTTACTTTCTTAAAGCTAAAATTTCTCATTTACTTTAAATCAATTCAGTTTTTTTATCATTTGGTATTGTTTTCGTTGGCAATCTTTAGCTTATCTTGTTCGGTTTTGACGTGGACTTTCGGGTTTGATGTTTGTGACCGTGACTGTTTTAGATGAATAACAAACGATAAGAAATATTTTGTGTAAAGTAACGAAATTTAATATTGAAACTTAAAGGTCATAATTTGCAAAATATCGTGTAAGGCATTAAATAGGACAAGTTTTAGCTTTCTAAGGTCGAAGAAAGTTCTTTCAGATTTTTAGCTGGTTATTCAAGGTTTGTATTTGAAAAACGTGTTTTTGAAATCTGGTCGAAGGGTTGTTGGTAACCAACATTTTGATGTGTTTTCGTTAGATATTGTGGGTATTTTCTGTGGACTATCCGTGAGTTGCTGATGCTAGTCTATATGTAACATCAGAGGAAGCAGATGATATCAGTCGTGTTACGAATGCTTGCCTACCTTGTGCTCGATACTGGTAAGTTTTGGGGCGTCGCTTAGTAGGAAAGACATAACGTTATCGCTGGCGTTCTTATCGGCCAAATTATAAACTGTACGTGTGATAAAAAACATTTTTTTACGAATAATGTGCTCGAACATAATGTTGCTAACTTGAATAAAAAAAAATGTTATCTTGTCGCCCGCCGTATAATGGGATTGTTGGGCTTATAGCGCACACGGACCCTTTTAACGTAAACCGACGCAAACAGTACACAGAAGAATAATTCGAGTTCTCCCTGCGTGCAGTCTAAATCGGTGACTAGTGACTCATTTCATTTTAGTTTTGATGTTGACGTTTGTTAAGTCGGTTGTAGTAGTATTATTAAAGACGATGAAAAAATAGTTCCTTCAACTCTCTCGCCAATTAAAACCAAGAGCGACGAGAGTCTTCACACCGTGTCAGGTATAACACGATCATGTCCGCTTGATCGTAGTGTAGCTGGTAGTAGGTGTAAGTTTCAAGTTTGAATTTCTATTCCATCAATGACGAAATGACGTGGACGATGATCCTGCGCGAATTGGTTACAGTTTCGTTTTAATATGGAGTTTACATTAAAATGGACAAGCCGTAATACATTCCGGTGTCGAGTGTGCGAATCCGCGGATTTCTTTCGACAAGCAAAATATTCACTTCACGATACCGCTACTACTGACAAACCTGAAAACGTCCGCCGCATACTTCACTGATTGTACAATTTTAAAACGAGAGATCAAAATTTGCCAGACTCATCCGAATTATTGTTCTTGTTTCAGATGTCAGCTGGATCTCAGATACAGATGGCACCGCAGTCTACGATCAACACAACCCATCAACCCGTACATAGCCAAGACTCCAATATGAGTACAGGTATATTAAAGTTTTGCATATTTGGAAGAGAGACAGTTTACATTTATAAGTAATAGCGGTATAGACCATTTTCACCTTGAAAATAAACATTTATTAAGTTGTTTTTACATTATTGTCGCTGCTTATATCAAGTTTCAACATAGAAACTAGATACAAGTGCCACTCTATTAACTGAAAAGAAATTATTCGTTTCCTTAAAACGGTTTTGGGGAATTATCATCCTCTGGTTTATTCTTGGAACAGTTGAAATATATTTATATACACGATATTTTTAGTAATACCAGTATCGGATATAGGATGATTTCCTTCGTGTACTGTAACATCAAAAGTAACATTTTAGAAACGCAAATTATGCAATGAGGTGAACAAATCGAGGACAATGAAATTCCGATTTGTTCCTATCGAGATTGGGGCAATTGTCTAAAATATTATTTATCTAGTTTTTCTTAAAGGTTCGTCTCATAGCGATAAAGAGGTGGACCCCAATACTCCGGAGAAGGTGCCGAGAACTCCTTCCGAAAGGAAGAGGAAAAGAAAAGCCGACGACAGTGGCGGTGCGCCCGTAAAAGGCGTGCGAAACGCTACCTCGGATAAAAAAATTAATGATTACTTTAAACATTCTGGAAATAGTCCTATTAGACACGGAGGGGCGAAAAGTCCGTCGCCTCAACAAACTCCTTACCCAATGGTAAGTAAATCACTAATCACAATTTATTGGTACTATGGCCAAATGTATAATGATGACAGTTTCACCCATGTATGAACTGATGATTATTTTTCGATCATGCACTACCAACTGATTACAAATAGGCAATAGTTGTATTAATTTAACATATGGAGTTATTTTAAATGTTTTGTTATTTAGTTTTATTGTTACAGTTTCCTCCATCACCTCAACAGGTGGGTCTGCCATCCCCCCAAGTCACTACGGTTCCTTATGATTTTTATAAACAACCGCCTCGGTTGCCCCTGCCTGTTATGGTTAACAAACAAGTACAGGTATGTGTATCTCTTGTCCTGATTATTTTTTTTACCTAAGTGGCCTCCACTACAAAAAACGAATCTATTTAAAACTGTCATAAATGGAATATTTTATCCAACAAAGTCGGTTTGTTTGATTGCTAATCACTTTTTATTCTATTAAAATATTGTTATCGTATAATAAATCTATGAACTTTGCTTTGTTTACTTTGTTCTGTATTTAAAGTAAAGGTAATTGTTATTGCAGATTTTACAATATTTTCTACAAAATTTACATTTTATATTATTCAACAAGAGAAAACAGTTTTTTTGCTTAAAAAAATGTTAGTCATACTTTTTTTTTGTTTTATGAGCGTTCAGTAGTTAAGTGACTTCTAAAATTATTGTTATTATTATGTATTAGAAGTATTGGAAGGCGTTTAGTTATTCTTCTTTCAAATTCTGTTATAATTTGGTGGTAGTATAGACTGAATAATGTGAATTTGGCACAGAGAATGTCTACAATTAATTCGAAACTGTTCTTGTTTTTCACATTTCATTGTTTAACAAATATATATTGTGATAAATCTATTTTGGAGCACACTTGTGAAGTTATTAATAACGTTTTCGCCAGAAGTAAAATAATATGGCGAACTGTTGTGGAGGCTTATTTTTTTTTATTTATGATGAAAACTAATCACCACTGTATGATCACAATGATTATATGATAACATGCACTACCAACTGAAACGACCGTTGCTTGCTTGTTAAATTATTACTTTTAGAATTTTTAATAATGTTTTTGTTTTGTGTTTCAGACTGAATTAACGTGTCAGAGGATACAAGAGTTCGAGACGCAAGCGTCATCGGATCTCGAAGTTCGAAATAACAAAATTGAAGAACTGAATCGGCAAAATGAAGAATATCGACACCAAATATCAACCCAACAAAAAGCGACGGACCAACATAAACAGCAAATAAATAAATGCATCGAGGTAGTAAAGAAACTGCTCAAAGAAAAAAGTTCGATAGAGAAGAAAGAAGCACGACAAAAATGTATGCAGAATAGGCTAAGGCTGGGACAATTTGTAACTCAAAGGGTAGGGGCGACGTTTCAAGAAAACTGGACTGATGGACACGCGTTTCAGGAGTTAGCGAGGTAGTTTAAACGTACCTAGTTAAGAATTGTGTATTAAATCTAGTGTCTGTTTAAGCAGGCGGCAGGAAGAAATAACGGCGGAACGGGAAGAAATCGACAGACAAAAAAAGTTATTGTTGAAGAAGAGGCCTTCAAACAATGAAAGTAGTAGGAAAAGAAATAATTCGAACGCTATGCATAACGGGACGGATTCGGGTTTTTTGAAGCCAGATGCTGTTCCCGGTTCTTTGACACTGCAAGAGTATTACGAAGCTGACGAAATCTTGAAATTAAGACAAAACGCCTTGAAAAAGGAAGATTCGGATCTTCAATTAGAGATGGAGAAGCTCGAACGGGAACGTAATCTTCACATAAGGGAATTGAAACGTATTCACAACGAGGATCAGTCTAGGTTTAATAACCATCCAGTGCTCAATGATAGATATTTGTTGTTAATGTTGTTGGGCAAGGGTGGGTTTAGTGAAGTGCATAAGGCTTTTGACCTTAAAGAACAGAGATATGTGGCCTGTAAAGTTCACCAACTCAATAAAGACTGGAAAGAAGATAAAAAAGCCAACTATATCAAGTGAGTGGTAAAAATCAACGTCATTTTTATTCACTTTATTTTTACTTTTTTCCATAATCTATCTATTAAATGATAAATGTTTTTTTTTCCAGGCACGCGTTAAGGGAGTACAATATCCATAAGGCTTTAGATCATCCTCGTGTAGTAAAATTATATGATGTTTTTGAAATAGATGCAAATTCCTTCTGTACAGTTCTAGAATATTGTGATGGTCATGATCTTGATTTTTATTTAAAGCAGGTGAGGTTTTTTTCTTTTTCTTATAATTAAGAAACTATAGTTTTGAGTTAAAGAATGTTTAAATTGCAAACTAATTCTTTAAAAAATATATTTATTTAGTTTGTTTTGTGATGACATTCTTGTGCCAGACATACCCTGTGGTGGTTAACATGTTTCAAGACGGGACTGATTCCTCTAACGTCATTCTGTTTTGTTTATTCAATTTTCAGATATTTGATCATAATGTGTTTGTTTTCAGCATAAGACAATACCGGAGAGAGAAGCGAGATCTATAATAATGCAGGTTGTGTCAGCTTTAAAGTACCTGAATGAGATTAAGCCACCCGTGATTCATTACGATCTCAAACCTGGCAATATTTTGCTCACGGAAGGTAATGTCTGTGGCGAAATCAAGATTACCGATTTCGGTTTGAGTAAAGTAATGGATGAGGAAAACTACAACCCTGACCACGGTATGGACCTCACATCGCAAGGAGCTGGTACCTATTGGTAAGGTTTTGATAGTGTTGGTTTTGTAAATCGAAAGGCTAATTTTCTTCTTTTAGGTATCTTCCTCCTGAATGTTTTGTAGTTGGGAAGAATCCTCCGAAAATTTCTTCGAAAGTGGATGTATGGAGCGTGGGCGTAATTTTTTATCAATGTCTATATGGCAAGAAACCGTTCGGGCACAACCAATCTCAAGCTACAATTTTAGAAGAAAATACGATTTTAAAGGCGACAGAAGTTCAGTTTGCTAATAAACCGGCAGTAACAAATGAAGCTAAGGTGAGTAAAATTATATTCATGTTGCGTTAAATCAAGTTTTATTTTATACGAATATTAAGATTATCTGCGTCATAAATGTTGCCTAATGACCAGATCCATGTTTGCTATTAAACTTTTACGATTATAAAAGTATTTGTCTACCATTATTAATTCAGGTCAATTGATTTTAGCATGTTTCGATTCGTAACTTGAAACATCGATAATTTTAATCTTTGATATTTGCTAGTGTTCTCTTCATTTAAGTTCATTTAACTATTCAGCCAATACCAAAAATGGAGAAATTAGCTTTATATTGCTTTTTTGTCTGAAGTGACTGAAATAACGAATATTAAATATTATCACTTAAACAAAACAAAGTATTATTTTCAATTTCTTTTGCTTAAATGTATTATTAAATCTTTTTCATGGGCTATTTAGACGCCGTAATTTCACCTAATGATTTTTAATATTTTTTTACTTTAACAACCTGCATATAAAAAATGCAAATGCAAGAGTAAAATCTCTTAGAAAAGATTAATTATTAAATAGATCGCCAATGAAAGTTAGTAATAATACGCCTCAGCCAGAGAAATTGTAATTTCAACTTGACTACACACCAAGAAAAAAAAGACAATTATTTTTATTTTTTATGATTGTTTTTATGTACAAATAAATCTTAGTAATAATAAAAATTAGATGATTAACATTTAGTATTATGTTAAACTTTACGAATTAATGAAAACTGTGTATTATTGTCTTGTTATTGTTGCAGAGTTTTATTCGAAGCTGTCTGGCGTATAGAAAGGAGGACCGTATTGACGTTTTATCACTAGCCAAACACGAATATTTGCAGCCCCCTATGCCTAAACATTCGAGAGTAGCATCAAGTCAGCAGCAGCAGCAACAACAGCAGCAGCAACAGCAACAACAACAGGCGGGCTCGTTTTCGACGGGACTATTTGGGGCAATGAACGCCTCCTCTTCATCTTAGTGCAGTGCTGTGTTTATTTAAGTTATTTAATTCATATGTCTAAAATACTACTCATAAAAACGTACATTAGTTAATAATTATTGACGATTTTAGTGGGACGCTGAAATCAAGATTGAACAAGTTGCGTGGTGAAAATGTTGTTATTTCGAGTGCGAATGTTGTAAAAGACGCCCCGTGTGTGCGATCTAAGGACTCCTTCAACTTCTTTCTCTTGTTGCTTACGCTTCCCTTCAAGGGTTTTTGTTATAAAGGTTGAATCGAACTAGAATCTTAGTGTACTCTAAAGCAACACTGTTATTTGTATAACTCGCTCTCTCTGGCTATTTTCCTCATATGTATGGATTAAACGCAATATTATACATATATGTGTACATTTGGTTAAATATCTACCTTTATAATGAGAACCAAAGTCTCAGTCCAGTACAGCACAGAAAAAGAACAATAGTCTGTATGTTTTCTTTCTAAGCTATAGTCCTAGAACATTATTAAGTTATTTTTTGAAGTGACCTTGCTTTGTACTATAGTGTGTATTTGGTTCGCTGCGTCCTGTTTCCTCTTCATTAAATAGTGTATCATATACAGAAGGCTCATGTTTGTATCCCCACATAACGTAAAAATGGTCGCTTATTAAATGAAATTGAAACGTATTTAATAAGCTCATTTTTTCCCAGCAGCTTTTTGAGACATTTTTGTTAAGACAGGTTCGTTTTACACATCTAAAATTTACATTGTTAGGGCGTAAATATTAGTAATATATGAGATTGAAATCAATAACCTCAATATGTTAAATTATTTATGCGATATACAGTGGACGGCACTAACAATATTGTGATTTTTACATAAACGACATTTTTTTCTATTATCGACATGTACGAATACATAACTTTATATTTGTTATTTAACCGCAGATTTATTGGTTTATTCGTGGTTAAAATGTGACGTTTTTTGAAATCACATTTGCCAATTGTTATCATTCATGCAAAGTGATCTTGAAAAACAGAGGTCTTGAAATCAATTTTATTAGAGGAAAAGATGGTAGAATTATTAGCAGTATATAGTGTATCAAAATTTATGAAAGAATTTAGTTAATCACCGTTTTTTAACTTGTAATAATGGTAGAATCGGTAATTGTTGCGGTATCCGCAACATTTCTAAATTGGCAGCTTGATATAATTTCAAAAAACGTCGGTGTTCTGTAAGCAAGTGCCGCACTGTATAAGTCTAGTTTATGTAACCCGCTTTCGGGGTGTATATATTTGAAAGCTTATTTATATAGTGGGGTTATTGTAAATTTTCCATGAAAATGTCTCAAATATCCGATCTGAACAGTTGTTTAAAAATGTACCAAGTGATGTGGAAATGTACGGACCTAGTTTGTACAGTGCACAGTGTACATTGCAGATGCTGAATAATTTAGGGTTGTGTAGAGGTCAACGTACATTCTTCGTCATTATTGTTTTGTAAATATATTGAAGCTGCAATATAAGAAGTGAATGCCAAACATGTCCGATATAAGTAAAACTCGCAAATAATTAAAATACATGTTACTTATTTATACTGTGCTGTTTGTGTGGGTGGTGCGCCACAGACATTGTGATAAGAAATTAACTAAGAAGTCATGTCTTAGTAGCAAAAAAAAACCGCAAAATGTATCGTTACTTTATTGTTTATGTACTTGTATCTATACTTTTATTTTATACAACGTTCACAGTTTTTTCTTTGGTATATCTACCGTTGTAAATAAGTGTGTATGAATACACAGTAAAAGTTTTCAAAACCAAGTTAATTTATTTCTTCTTCAATTTTATTATAAAATATAACTTTACTAAATTTAAAGCATATTTTTTTCCACCCCACACATTAAATTCGGTAAACAGTGAAGGTGAGGAGCTTATTAGTTATATTAAAAAAAGATTATTTTCTTTTCTACTATTTACATTTTAGTTACAGATATAAACTTAAGGACTGCAGCAAATAAGACACATACTTGCAACATAGTGTACATAGTAAACATGTTTGTTTTTGTAATTTACTAATGTACAATATTTCATTTCAATTGTAGATTACAAAATCAATAAAAGAACGTTGTAAGTACAGATACTTTCATTTTCCAAATTTACAACGAGAATTTTGGTGTGCATTTAATTCCTGATTTCTCATTCATTTCATTTGTAGTTTATAATTCAGGTATAGTAGCCTAACAATATTCTTATTTAGACTAGTGTTTTTTTCTTTCGTTGCACTTTTATTCGCATATTTATTTATAATAAGGTTGACAAAGCCCACAATTGTATCTTTCATTATTAAGAAATATTTCAATATTTTTAGGATTTGTTTATTACATTTTTGTTACAGTATTGGACCATTCAAAAGAACAGAAAAACTTACTAAGGGCTTGGTAGCTTAGTAAGAAAAGCAACCGACCAGCAACTGGGGAGACTTCGGTTTAAATCCGAGTCGTATTTGTGAGTTTTTGTGTTTTATAATGGGATAAAATCTAGAAGTACACACCTGGGCGAAGTCAGATTGCGCGTAAACATAAGAGGGGACGCGGACCAGTGGCATCCTTTCCTAAATATTGTCATAGTAAAGCGAATCTAAAGCCTGTTTTTTTAATAGAAATGCCAAACAGTCTTAACATTGGCACCACTAGTAAATTCATTCATGGTAATTTTAATAAAGGAAGTTTGCAGTTCCGGTTTTTTGAATTAGTTTGTCATTAAACGTCAATACAAAAAATCGTCTGAGAAAATTTAGAGACGAGACACCAAAAAAAGGAACAAATTCGGTACCGCTAACAGTTTTTTAGAAATTTAGAAACGAATAGTTCGCAAGCAGGAAGTAAGAAAGAGGGCCTGTTAAAATGTAGACGCAATTTGTAATGCAGATTTGCTAAACATTTCAATTTAGAATGAGAAAGAACCTCGGAAATAACGCAATTAAATTTGTGTCTTGTGCATCAACTTTGAGCTGATTTCAATAAATTACACAAAATTTATTGTCTATCATCACAATACCCGCTTGAATCTTTTGCTAAATAACTTTTTTTTGTATATACATCCTTTTTCTTCAAAGTTTTTGTAGCAAGAACCTCATTTTTGTCTACAACATTGTACTTACTTGCGGTGTGTTTACGAGTACAACAAAATTATTAGCACGGAACTCTGTCTTTAGACCTTATATATAAGTAATAATGTCTGTCCTCAGGTATTCAATTATAGCGCTTTCAGAGAGCAAGCAGGCACACAAATTCATAAAAGTCAAAATTTTGGTAATGGTAAAAGTAAAAACGCTTAAGTGAAAAAACGAGTTTTTACTCTATCCCTGAAAGGTAAAACATTTACTTGTGTCATTTAGTCATAAAAAGGTCACTTTTGTAACGTTTGCAGATAAAAATAATTCCATGATTTTTTTGTTTAAATTTTGTAATAATTTCATTATTGTAAATTAACACATAATTTTTTCACCAAAGCTTTGACTTGGTAATTTCCATTAAAAAAAAACACACTTTACATAAGTAACCTATACATACAGGGTGACCCAGGCGTGCGTGCAAACTTTTTTTCTATCGAAGTTATCGACATGATTTTTTTTTTCATCGTACATTGTACATCGACCCACAAAAAAATTCATAACTTCAAAATTATTCAAGATAATTTAACCATCTTTTTTCCTGTTGATTTCTTAAGCTTTTGCGCGTCTTCTGAGATAAAGACAAACTCGGAGTCCATGTTCCATCGCGTACTACGATTTTTTGAAAATGACAAAATACAAATGGCAATAACCCGACTTTTTCAAATACAACACTATATTTTACTGCATCATTGCATGGCATTTTTTATGAGCTCTTTGTCGATATAGGATTCATGGGGTCTACTTTGTAAAATTTATGAGATTTTTGCAAAATAAGTAATGTTGATGTTTTTTTTCTGAAAAAAAAAATCGAGTAGGCCGGTATCGTTTGACACATCTATGCAATTCTGAAAAAAATGTGTTTCAATAAAATTAAGTTGTAATAGAAACAGGAGTACATCACAATAAAGGAAACAATTTTAATAATCTTTACAAGAATAGGAAAAAATGACTAATAGAAAACAATGTAAAAATTTTGAGAAAAGGTTACTTATAAAAACTGCTCAAATAGGTCCCATCATGTTCCACACAAGCTGCTAGTCTTTTAGTAAATGAGCTCCGAACTCTAGCAAGCATTGCTCCATCAACTGAATGGAAGGCTTCCGTGATCCTGTTTTTCATATCATCTGCAGTTGTTGGACGATCTCTGAAAACTTTTTTTTCACGTACCCCCAAAGAAAGAAATCGAGGGGAGTTAGGTCTGAAGATCGTGCGGGCCAGGGAATAGTACCTCCTCTGCCTATCCAACAATAAGGATAGGACGGTACATTTTGCTTGCTAATAAAGGACCAATACAGTAAACCATATTCACTAATTCTTCACGAGTGAAATTCATTATTGACAATTTGACGTGTACAATTATTAAAAGTACATGAAAGTGTCAAATTTTACGACAGCAGCCTACTCGATTCTTTTTTTTTTAGAAAAAACCATCAACATTTCTTATTTTGTAAAAATCGTACAAATTTTACAAGATTAACCCCGTAAACCCTACATCGACAAAAAGCTCATAAAAAATGCCATGTAATGATGCAATAAAATATAATGTGTTGTATTTAAAAAAAAAACGAGTTATTGCCATTTGTATTTTGTCATTTTCAAAAAATCGTAGTAGCCGATGGAACATCAACTCCGAGTTTGCCTTTTTCTCAAAAAATGCGCTAAAGCTTAAGGAATCGACTGGAAAAATGTTGGTTAAATTATCTTGAATAATTTTAAAGTTATGAATTTTTTGTGGGTCGATGTACGATGTAATTTTGACACATAAATTGGCATAAGTCAAAAACTATTGCAGGTAAGTCTAAGAAACCAAGGTGCATTATATTGACAATTTAGTGGCGAATCCAGAAATGTAATAAAAAATTAAAAAACAGAACTTAGTTGTGTATCTTATTTGGGACATCCTGTATATGAATAGAAATATTTTTATAATGTGCCTCATTGTCGTATCTATCCTTTGAAAAAAAAATCATGTCGATAACTTGGAGCGAAAAAAAGTTATAGAGCGTGCACGAACCCCTGGGTCACCCTGTATAAAACCTAAAAAAAAATTTAATACAATTTGTCAGTTGTTATGAGATGGTTATTTTTATAGAGTAATATTTGTCTTATACAAACATTGAAAGATTAACATCTGGGCAATGATTGCAAACCGTTTAAACGAGATAAAGGTAATGCAAAAATTTTATCGAAAACTACATTAAAAAACTTTCAAATTTTTGCTTATTTATTTTTGCAGCGTTCCATATTTTTCAAAATGCTGTGAATACAGTTGAAGATACAAAAAAAATGTAAGAAACAAGGTTGTAAAGAATTAAGTTAGAAATTAATTTTCTACAATAAACTCTATTCACTGATATGTCTTTAACGGTTTAGGTTTAAATTGTTTTAAAGTATTCCCCCAGCACTCAATCCCCAAAAAAATTAAAGAAATCCGTCGCTTGAGCGGCTTTGAACGTCTTTGGTCTTGGATTAAATCGTTAAAGATAGAGATATGGTCTCGCAGACGTTTTTGTAGGTAATTTAATTCTCTACAGCATTTTTTTCTTACATTTTTTTTTGTATCGTATCGTAATCGTATTCGCAGCATTTTAAAAAATACGGGACGGACACAAAATTTAAATATTTTAAATTTTTCTCATATTTTTCGTGAAAAATTTGGTCGTCAGTTTAAGAATGTAAAGCTTAACGCATATAAAATTATTAAATTAATTAAAATTAATTTAAAATCATTTGGACCCGAGCCGGTATAACGCTCGAAGCTCCCCTCATTTTTTTGCTCTGCATGTTCTTATTTTTTTGGGTACAGAAAATCGAGCCCGGGCGATTTCGTTTCTCGTTTTGCTTTCTAGTATTTATTAGTTCTCCGTAGTCCCAAGATATAGATAGGAAGTTTCTCACTTCACTAAGGAAAGATGCTATTAGGAAAAAAGATTTAAATGACAAATTTCAAACTTATTTAAACATTAAGAAAAAAATAATTAGACAATAACATCTGCTTCAATAAGAATCTCGCCATCGTTTAAAATAAACATTTATTTTTCAAAAAATATTTTTTTTGTGTAAGACTTCGTATTTTAAAAATTTCAGGACTTTGGAAATGATGGGTCCTTGCTGAGTGAACACCACGGACACAACTTTGCTTGCTTTGGTGGAAGAGTTAAGCAGTGGTGTAGCAAGAAAACATTTCGGCTTAAAAGAAGGGACTTTGAACAAATAAAAGTGGGAAATTCCAAACGCCTTATATGTGAATTTTGAATTTACGTGATTGTTATTTTTGTCCCAATTTTATTTGTCCATCGACTATACCATTAGTGGACATTAAAAGTTGTGACATCCACAATCTTGTGTATAAACTTTTGAATTGTAATTTAAAATAAAAATTGTTAGCAATCTAAAGATGACTGTCTTCTTTGAACCTAAAGAGATGTTAGATCAATTTGTGTTATTTATTAAAGTCTTGTAAATGTATAAACAGCATTAAAATACTTACTGAACTTTAACTTGATGTTTTTGACATTATGTCATACATAACTTTTCTAACCTTATTTGTAAAAATTCTAATTTACCTAATGTGGTGTAAACTTTTGATTTATTGTCATGTTGGTCCCAGTTTTTTATGTCTACCGATGGTAGACGCGGTCAAAAAATACTAGTACAGTGCCGGACATTAAATTTGGGCCACCATTGTTATGTAACTTTAACAAAATTAAATGTAAACTATCAGCTTGACAGTGGTGACAGTGTTATGACAATACTCCGGTAAATTGTAAACGCTAGTTACCAATTTAGTAAAAATATTTTTAATAAAATGTTTTCAAACAATGAGAAAATAAAAAAATTATTTATGCTATTATTTTTGGAAGCATGAGGATGCACATAAAATTGTCTAAAGGAATTTTATTCAAAGTAAAAGTATCTCAGCGTAAAATGTAAATTGGTCCAATGTAATTTTGTCCAACGTAAATTGATTCAAAGAAAAATCAACATTCGTACTTATAATTGTCCACCGTAAAAAAAGTCCAACGATTTAGGAACATGTTTGGGTGTTGGCAGTTTTCAAAAAGTTTAGTTACAATAAAAAAAATAAAAAGAACACATTTAGAGGATTGATTTTTAAAGGAAATTGAAAAAAAAACTGCGGATGAATCACAACTTCGTAAAAAAAATTGTAAACTTTTGAATACATGATAACTGGGTATAAGCACTTTAGTAGTGCCGGGTTAGCGTTACTAAGAAACGAACTATCAAGTCATTATTGTTGCCAAAGGAGAATTTGTCACAATTTGACTTGATAGTTCGTTTCTTAGTAACACTAACCCCGCAAATTCAAATTTCAATTTTTCAAGAGCCATTTTCGCCGAACTGGAGTTAATTGGAGAATCGACAAAAATGTCTATAAGATCGTCCTTGTCGAACACTACAAGCTTCATTAATCAGATTTTAATTTTTGTTACTCCTGCAGCCGGCAAAAAATAAAAACTAATTTCCCATTTTAATCTCCTATATCCAAGTGTGCCTGGGACACCCGGTATGTATATCAACTGTTGTCATAGATACATTATAAAATTCATAAGAACTACTTGATAATTTTGTTGGTACTGAAAAGAGCACTGCAAACTTTTGGACATTTTTACGGTCGACAAAAGTACGGTTGCTTATCTTACGTTGGACAAAAATACTTTGGATATTTTTACGGTGGATAAAATTATGTTTTACTGCTTTGGCCCTTTTTACGGATTACGGACATAAATACTGATGCTTTACTTTGGACAAAATTGATCTTTTCCAAGCATGAAGCTAATTAACGATTTCAAGCATTCTACTGTTTTTTTGAAAAATATTTACTTACTGAAACTTAATGTACTGCAAATTCCACGCCACTGGAAATATAGTTTTGCTTTCTGTCAGTTGTCAAAAAAGAAACGTCAAACGTCAGATTTTTAAATGATTGAGGTTGTCTAATAACATCGATTTTTAGGTAAAACAATCATAAACATGAAGTTATAAATAATGTAAGCAATTCAAATAAATGGTATTTGTGACGATGATGACTGCTGCACAGGATGTCTTCACTTTAAAGTGTATATTAAATAATATAAAAATCAGGCTGTGTTCTCGGATAGAGAGTGGAGTCAAACAGCTTTTGGCTCTAATTACAAGGTAAATTGTTAATAGTATGTTTCTATTCTGAAATATTTTTTGTAGTGACAATGATGTCGTATTTCATTACACTTACGGTGAATTACCTCCGGTAATTAAGAGAGTTCCTTGGTTGTCAGATTCAAATAAAGTTATTCAAGCTGTTTGTTTCGACCCTACTGCAACATGGCTTTTAGTTGTTTGTGTGTCTCCACAATACAATCAAGAATAGAAAATTTTTACTGTTATTTTTCAGCAATTGATGGTTCCTTGTACATAATTCCTGCATTGAGTTTAACAGACAAAAAACAAAAAATTGACTGCAAATGGTCTCTGAACGATATAACCCATTTCCCAAAGCATTCACAAACGCCAGATTCAAAACCTACATGTGTTGTATGGTGGCAAACTTTAGATTGCAATCAGAATGCTTTAGTAGGCTACGAAAGTGGGGCTATAGCTTTGATAAGCTTAACTGATGGACGATGTTTGGGGTGTTGTGCAATTTCCGAAACTGTGACGGGACTTTCACTGTGTCAAGACAATACTCTAGACTCAGTTTCATTATTGGTAAATATATATTTTTTCTTAATTCTTAGATTTATGTCTTGAAATTAGATAAATGGAGACAGCGGTCAACAATGGCGTCTAGTACTTGAACAAAACTCAGTTGGCTGTTTATGGCCTCCTGAATCAACAAACCAATCAGATGACTTGACGCGCTCAAGATTGTATAATTTGAAGCAAATGGGGGTGGATAAGTTGGCATCACTAAAACAAAGGTTGGTCGAGGCCAGAAGTGGCAGAAGGGATAGTCAAAGTGATACAGCAAGTGAATCTTCACATTCAGAATCCACACATTTAGGTCCTGAGCTATTGCCTTGTCTTTGTGATACTATTTTTGCACCACAATATGCAAGAAATCGTTACTTATTTTCTGCGTTTTATAAACCCACAAGTTTATTAACTGTACATGGAGTAGATGTTGATTCAGCGCCGTTGTTTGTCCACAAGTTGATGAATGGGACAAGTTCACTTTTATTGACTGATAAATTGATTTATACTGTTAATGATGAAAGAAATATTATTACTATTGTTAGTACTCAATTGTCCGAGTGTAGAATGGAGGGCGATGCAGTTAGTTTTAATTTCTAGTCATCACTCTTTCTCTTACATAATTTTTTTTAGAAATTCAATCCTGATGCGCTTGTTGCACAATTTATAATTGAAAAAGAGAAAATTTTGAATATTTACAAGTTGACAGACTTGAGTTGGGGAAGAAGCAGAAAATATAAAGATGAACAAAGGAAGGAAAAACATTATGAAATGCCTAAAACAGTAGAGGATTTGAACATAAAGAAACCAAGAGTTGACACTTGTGTGGTTATCACTAATGCTTCTGTATACAAAGTTGTGATTAGGTAAGTTTACATATTTACATTATCTACCATTTCTTTAACTTTGATAACAGTATTATTAACTTTTTATCAAGAAGTAGGAACAAGGGTTTTTCTTTATTAGTAGTTTATTTTTTGCAAGAAACTGTTTATTTATATTTTAAAACTGAAAAACACACGAGTATTTTGAAAAGTGATTATTTTCTTGCTATACCTAGAATTAGAAAATTACATTGAAATTATGCAATTTTATTTGCACTTATAGATAAGACTTTGTTTAACAAATATTAGTAAAATTCTTTGTACTCAGTTTGATTTATTGATTTTCATTGAATTATAAAAAATTCGCAATATTCATATCTAAAGGAAATGAATTAAAAATCTAGTTGCTTCTATTTAGTATGAAAGCAAAGTTGTTTTTATGCGGAATTAATGAGCGAAAAACCTCCATAACCAATTTTTTAATTAATTAAAATCACTCACTGATTAATCCTATATAAGTGTATACAGCGTGATTCAAAAGAGTCGGACCAACTCTCGAAAAGTGAGTTCAGATTTTATTTTCAAGCCTTTTTTTTTCATATTATCATGTAGGCACCTTAGGTCTTTTGTTTCCGATGTTCTCGGAGTATCACTGAGAGGTTGTAACACGTGTTATTTATACAATTTTTTCTATTAGGCGCTTTTTACTCGTAAATAACATTTTTTTATTAAATTTTAGAGTTTAAATTAATAACATTTGACGTATGGGGTACTCAAATCGCTTGAAAATAGCTCAAATTGCATTAGTCGATGAAATACGTTGATCTACAATTTTTCACTTAACAACGACAGTATGCAGCCAGTGCGGCAAAAGTATTGCATTAAATGTTGCCGAAAAGTGTTACAAAGCTGTATTTTGTGTTACACAAAATGCTTATTGTGGCATTAAAATAGAAAGGAAATAGTAATTAAATATATTACTTTTCTTGAATGTTATTGTTTTTCAACTTTACATATGCGATAGTTCACCCTTTATTTTCACTTTTTTTGAAAATATTTTTAATGTATGTATTAATTTATCATTTTTAGTTGCTCTCCCATAAACAAATTTGTCCATTTTGTTACGGCTGATAACGATTTGGAAAAAGCTGAAAGATTGTCAATAATTTTCGGCTTAAATATACAACAATTACTGGAAGCATGTGGCGATTTAATGATTACTAAAGGATCATTCCATTCTGGTATAATTTTGTATAAACAAGCAAAAGTCCATTTGTTGAAAAGAGTCCTCAAACTTGCCATCTCAGCCGACTGTCGAACTCTTCTTAAATTCGTACATCTTTGTCTGAGTGCAAGTCGAGTAGATATGTCGATGGCAACGAAAATCCACATTGGTAATTTAGCCGTTATGGCCTACACCGAATTAATCCTCCGACATGGCGGACAGGCTCGAATTTCAAACACTAAAGATTTCATGTAACTGAAATATATTCAAAAATTTCGTAAAATCTTAATTTTTGTTTTTCCAGGAATTTCTTGCGTTATGAAGAGTTCTATGACCAGATTTTAGCTGTTAACGTTGCCTGCCAAGCCGGTCATTGGAACATTGTTTCTTTATTAGCCAAATGTCGTGGTTTACAGCCTGAAGTTGTTACAGCTTTTGGCCAAATACTTCAAAGTGCAAGAGCACCAAGACCCAACGATCGTGAATTTTTATTCGCTCTTTCTGAACCGAGTTTAACACAAAGTCTTGTGATTTTGCCTCAAAGTAGTAAAGAGATTTTTAATTTTGTTCGCACTAATGTGGACACCTTTCCTGTTGACATTCTTCAAAGATTTGCCGTACAATTAGATCCGAGTCAGCCATGTGTCATCCCTTTAGTGAACAAAATATTTTACACGAATAAATATTCGTCTAGTCTTGACACCACTATAGAATCCGTCGATATGGAAAATCCGGATAAGGCCTTAATTACCATAAAAGATTTAATAGAGACATTTTTGTTCGTTTTAATTAAACTCATTGGGAAAACGGATAAGGACGAGTAAGTTATAAATTGCCAGTTGAGTGTTTTTACATTTTTTTATTTGTAGATACAATATCCATTTGTTAGATTTTACAGATCCTCCTGAGCCTCCTGTCGAAGAATCTTTAATTAATAAAATGCCAGATTTGCATCACTTGAGTTGCGGCTTTGAACACGCTGCAGTCGTGCGAAATTCGTGTCTTTACACAATGGGGGTCTCCAGTTCCGGGTGTTTAGGTCTGGGTCCACTTCTTACTCAAAGTAGTCCTCCGAAATTAGTCCAAACTTTATTCGACCTAAAAGTCAAAGTCTTGAGTGTTAGTTGTGGTCGCAAACATACACTCGCTTTGACTGACTACGGGGTATGTTCATCTTAAAGTCTGTTTTTTTTAATTTTATTAATGTTGGTACCACTGTAAAAAGTGTAAAAAAAAAACCTGCAAACGAAAACATAAAAACGTTAATAGCTTTTGGAAATTTGTCAAACAATGTGTCTATATTTGGACTAAAATTTTAACGAATATACAAAATACCATGCGTTCAATTAAATTTCTAACAATTCGCCTAAGTCGTTAAAGTTAAGTTGGCAAGATTGAATAAGATTCAGATATGAAATATGAATTTTTCACTTATTTTGGGAGAATTGTAGAAAACAAGACACTAAACGAATTATTTGGATTGGTCTCTCGATTTTAGTCGTTTTTCACGGTTTTGAGCAGTCAGTTTTCTAATAAAGAATACTTTAAAATCGAACCAAATGACTTTCTTCTTCTTCTTCTTCTACAAGGGTCATGTCACCACTAAAATGTATCAAACGTTTGTTGATCAATTTTGAAAAACCAGATGACGTTTTTCGCACTCTTATAAACAGTCAATTTTAAAAAAAGTGTTTTTATGTTACCGAAATTACCGAAAAACTTTCCTTTCTAAAGGTTTCGAAATATAGTGTTTCAGAACTCGCGCCCTATAAAAAATGGCATGTTAGGTTTTCAGGAACATGGAAAAAAATGTTTAAAAAATTTTATCTATAAAGGTTTCGGGAGTTTAAAATTTCCATTTTGATCCTATTTATTTCTGTTGGAAAAATTATTTTCCATTTTTTTTTTGCTGCAGGTTATTAGAAGAGGAAACGAGGAAGCTGTAACTATGTTTAAGGTTATTTGTGGCTTTTATTGGAATTTTTTTTGTACCATTACTAAATAATTATGAAAAACATATACACGATCATCAGTAACATTAAATAGACAAAAAAATGTCAAATGTCAAAAAACAAATGTGAATTTTTTTTGACAGATACAATTTTTTAAACATTTTCTCCATGTTCCTGGTATCTTATCTTACTTGGAATTTTTCTCTGTGGCGCGAGTTCTGAAACAACCTGTTTTGTATTCTAGGTGTAAACTCGCGGGTAGAAGATGATACAATTAAAATGCCTTTTTGAATTATCTGTCGATCTCTAATCGATTTTGAGCGTTTTTTTCTTTGGAACTATTGAAAAAAATTATGAAATTGATTTTCAATTGAATCATCAAACAACTAAATACATATAACAATTTTCGCATTCTTATCTAGGTCCTAGCCATCTGAAAAAATGCATAAAATGTTTGTTTTAGGATTTTGGAAAAATTGATTTTATCATTGGGAAAATTAGTGGATATTTTTTTATTACAAAGTTGTTTGTTAGGCGTATAAAATTGCTATGAAAAAAAAAATTGAAAAAATGTGCGAAATTGATGATTTGTAAATTGAACCAAATGACGTTTTTTGTATTCTTATAATTCAGAAACAGAAAAATCAAAAAAATTCAAAAATCAATAAAATCTAAAAATCAAAAATTCTAAAAACTAAATATATAAAAAACGTCTTTTAGAAATAAACTTTTATTAGAAAAATGTACTAAAAAGTAAGAAATAATTTTTTTCTGTCAGGAGAACATTTGCTTACACCCTAAGATTTTAAAATTTAAAAAAGAAAGCTTTGAGGGCGGGAACTGAGTAAATAAGTAATTGTGCAATTTAGTCGTTATGTTATAACCGCTCCCAAAGCTTGTATAAATTTTAAAATTCTAAGGTGTAAGCAAATGTTCTGTGACAGTAAAAAATATTTTTTATATTTAGTCCATTTTTCAGATAAAAGCTCATTTTTAAAAGAAGTTTTTTATATTTTTTTTT